CTGTTATAGGACGGTAGTTGTTTATGTCAGCTTTGTCCCCCTTTTCTTTATAGATCATGCTGATCCTGCTAAGTTTCCATCCATCGGGAACTTCACCATCGACTATTATTTTGCTCACTGCCTCTCTCAAAGCCTGTTTAGACCTCGGACCTAATGTCTTTATCAGCATAATTGGAATGCCATCTTGGCCTGTTGATGTTCTACTAGGAACCCTTTTCTCAGCCCTTTCCCACTCTCATTGTCAAAATGGAGCCATTGCGCAACTTGATTCATCCTTGTCTATTGTGGTGCATAAGGCGCTTCTTTGTTGAAATTTTTCTGTCACCCTTGTTCCTATTTATTCAATAGCTTCGTCCCCTTCAATCCTAGCAACTTGAGATGTAGTTATAAACCTCTGCTCTAGGCTCATTTCATTTCTCAGGGAGTTTAGATGGTTCCAAAATTTCGCAGCTCCCTTTCTATCTTTTTTATGTACTTCTGCCAGCCACTCAGCTCCCTTTCTTCTAAGCTTTCATTGATCAGAAGGGATGCATCACTGCTACAGCTTAGAAACATTTCCCATTTTCTTTCAACATCATCTGTCGGTTCACCCCACTGCTTAGCATGTCTCTGTTCCCTAGAGGCTTCCTGACGTTCTGCCATGGCTCTCTTAACTTCCTCATCCCACCAACTTTTCGGTTTGTGTCTTCTTTTACGGGATGACTTGTCACGTGTCTTGGCAAGATCTAGCTCAAACAGTCTAATTAGATTGGTGTATGCCCACTCCGTTTTATTATCCTCAGTGATTACTTTCTCAATTTGTTTAGTGGCTATTTCAATTTGCCTTTCTGAATAAAAATTTTCCTGTAATTGCTCATCCTGTCTCCATCCTACTTTCACTGCTTTTCCAAAACTTAGCTTGATACGTTTGTGATCACTACCCAGATTTCTGGAGCCACCTTCATCTATGTGCATTGCCCTGAGCTTATCATACATCCTATGTGACATCAGTGCGTAATCAATCGCCGACTGCAGCCTTTTTACCTCCCATGTTATTTGCCCTTCACATTTCTCGGTACTGTTGCAAATGATCAAATCAAGCCTTTCACACATATCCTTGATCATTTTGCCAGTCGGGTCGGTATACCCATCTATATCTTCTATGTGCGCATTCATATTTCCTAGTATAATCATCTCGCACTCTTCTCCTAACTCCTGAATGTCCTTTGATATACACTTTACCATTGCCTGGTTTTCCTCTCTGGCATTTGCTCCCGTCCGCAAGTACATCAAACCAAAGAGTGTCATTCGCCCTGCCACTTTCCCTTTTAGCCTTGAATATTTCTTGCACTCCTGCTTGACCCTTTGCTAGTCTGTACTTTTACGAATAAATGCCCCAATACCAGTTCCCTTTCTGCTGCCTTCTGTTCTATAACAATATTCCCACGCATAGTCCTGATTGTTAGGAGGTTGTTCCATGTCCCTAAGATGTGTTTCTACAAAACCGTATACCATCGGCTTCTTTTCTCTTAGCTGTTCTTCTATCTCTTCCCACTTCAGCACGTTCCTGCCACCCTGAATGTTAATTTACCGTACGTCTGAATTGGCTCGGCCCTCGTGGCTACTGCCTTGGACTAAACCTGTCTTAGATATTGTTCATACCGCCTGTCAAAGAGTCTCCCTGGTTTTCTCATTACTAGCTATTCTGCACCCCAAAGGGCCCGCGTTCTTCCCAAAAAAAATCTACTGCTAGTTCTGCAAGTTGTCAACCCACCTCATGACTTAGCTGCCCATCGAAGGGAATTCTGTCTCGTTGCAAACCACCCCACCTATGCACCTCTCTGTTTATTTTTACCACTTCAAAGCCTTTCTCTCGACTCATCCATTATATCTCTTGGTTTGCGTTGACAACCGCTCTTTGCAGGCTTGAAGTGACGACATGAAGTCGAGAAGATCGGGAGGCAGCCGTCGGCCTGAACGAAGGGCAGCTAATTATTCAGATGACTGGCCCCCATGGTTAACGCGAAATTATAATTTAAAAGTCGACATATTCGACATCAATTTGTCAGGGGAAAAAATATTTTAAAATTACACTGCGTACGTGTTCTGCATAGCAATGACCGACACTGCTGCATGCGACCATTGTGGCAGTGACGAAACAACTTGCACATTCTGTGTGAATGCCCACAATACTGCTCACAGAGACAGGCACTCTGCAGTGCACTAAACGAACTTGACAACCAGGCTCTTTCGGAAGAAATAATCCTGCGCTACCGACAGGACTTAATGTCACCCGGCCTATTCAAACAACTGTGATCGGAACGCCCTGAATGTGTGTGCATGTGAATTTTTTCAATTTATTTTATATCTCTCTATCTGTATCCTTTTTTCAACCCTTATTCCACCCCCCCCCCCCCTGTACAGGGTAGCAAAACCAGTTCTTCAGGTTAACCTCCCTGTCTGTTTTTTTATTTATTTCTCTTTCTCTTCGCACATGCTTTCCTAGTCCCTGAATTTCAACACTTTCAGGTTACTGCTGCAAAACGCGTAAAAATAATTGCATAGCAATAAGGGCCACAAACGCTTCTATGGGCTGAACGACGTTTCAAGGGCTTGTGTGCAGCTCAGGAAAATTGTGTGGTTTTGTTCGAATTGGCTAGAATGGCATATGAGCTGCAACGAGCATGGTTTTGATCAGTAAATATCAAAAGGCATTTTTAATTGAGCTTTGTTGTCAAAGTGTGACCGTTAACGCCACCCGACAACAATGTTGTTAAACCTTTTTAATAGAAAGACAAATCTCTCGCAGCTGCCATTGCTTTGCTTATAAGCAAACATGTATATCATCGAAATTTGTAGGAACATTTTACACGTGTGCTTTGTTTGGGAAAATAAATCTTGCTTTTTTGCTCCTGCGAGGTAAGACAATCGCCTGGGTGCGGTGCAGGTGGTGAGTTTTATTGTCTCTCACCAAGAACGCACCAGACCAGTGCTTGCCCTACTGATCAGACTCCAGCCGGCGTGTGGTGGAGAAACGCTTGTTGTATGAGCACCGAGTCGTGCACAACTCAATACAAGAAAAAAGTCATTTTCAGCGGCAGGCCTTATAACTTCATCGAACTAGTCGAAATTGTGCATCCCAGTATCTTGCGACGTGCGTCACTGCGCTACGTCGTCAACCCGACCGGCTGCATACTGAAGAAGATCGTGTTTTCAAAGCTTGGTAAAAAAAAACTGTATAAAGGTGAATAACGATCGTTGCCTCCGTCTATCCAAATGATCCTGCTTAAACAAAACGCCCGTGTTGGCCGGCATGTTACATATACAACGCGGAACACTTAGGCATAACTAAAAAACACAGACACCTTCATTTTTACATGCGAAGAATTTCTTAGCAAACTTTGGCGACTCTGCGCGTATCTATCTATCTATCTATCTATCTATCTATCTATCTATCTATCTATCTATCTATCTATCTATCTATCTATCTATCTATCTATCTATCTATCTATCTATCTATCTATCTATCTATCTATCTATCTATTGTACTGCGACGTGCAGACTATCGACTGGAAGTTTATTCATCCCGCATTGCATATATAAATACAACCAGGAAAAAAGAGAAGAATAAACCTGTATAAACCTTCAGTTGGTAGTTTGCGCTTGTCTTTGTCTTTTTCTCGTGCATGTTTTCTACCGTGTAGTACTCTTAGATCATGTATGACCAACTGGCCCAATCGTCCACCTTGATTAAATTTTTTTAATGAAATACAGCACTTTCTACAAATATTTCACCAGTAAATACTTATTCTAGATAAGATATATTTTGAGTAAAAAATTTCATTAGATCTGTGAAGCTGCTAAACATTACGAGAAAACATCTCAAACTTCGCGCAATTCTCATTTTGCTCCGATTTGAGACGCAAATTGCTTCTTGTGGTGGCCCAATTAAAAATCACCTTTATACTTGAATCGAAATCAAATAAACCTTTCTGCTCATATGGCTAATCTTATCATTAAAATTTTCATTTTAAGGAAGAAAGTAATATTTGAGCATTCTCATTGACGGCAATGGGAAATTTCATGGCGGCAGCTGTCGTATGACCTAATTGGAATCTATATGCAATAATGGGAAAGTTCAAAAATTACTTTCTTCCTTAAAACAAAACTTGTAATGATAAGATTAGCTATATGAAAAGAACGATTTATTTCCTTTTAATTTAAGTATAAAAGTACTTTTTAATTGAACTACCACATGGTGCAAATTGCGTCATAATATGAACAAAAATGACAATTTTGCTAAATTTGTGATTTTTTTCGTAATGTTTAGGAGCTTGACAGGTGTAATATTTTTGTTACGTTGTTTAATATTGTTTTCTCAAAATATACCTTCTGTTGAGTGAGTATTCACTATTCAGAATTTTATACAACTACAGTATTACAATTTAAAAAATATAAGCGTAAGAGATTTTGGCTAAATTTTTCAGGTGAATGTGCCAATAAAAATGCACTAATACTATTCAGATTCAAACACCTTACAGGAGAACCTTTACTTAACATGTGGGCAAGTTCGGTACACAAAGGAGGAGCAGTAGTTTTAAAATCAATTTTTCCACAAACAACATCCAAACGACATTCAGGGAAGTTCAGAAGGCAGCCACGTGACCAAACTTTTTTTCTCTCAGAAATATTTTTCCGTTTTACTGTTTTCAAAGCAGTAATTGAGCACAATTATTTTTCAGATGTATTTGAGATGACCGCCTAAATGACTGCGACGTTTGGCGCAGTATTACCCAATAGGTATAACAATAGACGTAGCATGCATGTGCAATACTTGTTAAATTTTTAAAACGAAAAATAACATGGAATTTTAACGTGTGCGTTTCGTGAAGCGTCAGAGGTGTCAAACCGATGCGTGCCTTTTCTCTCTAAGGGATGCCACGATGATCAATGGCACTATTTTATACAACTATGAAAATCAAACATATATAAAGATGCGAGCTTCGCCACCGTCCGAACTTCGTCAAGGAGCAAAGTGACAACATGCAGTTGTTTCTTTACGTAGTTCTGAGTGGCGCGGTTGGTGCAGTGCGTGGGCAGACAAGCACGTACGATACTGAAAGACAACCACCTTGGGTGAATGAAGCATTCTTTTTCAAGTATCAGAACGCTTGGAGAGTAAGTACTACCCTTCGAAATCATTGAAAATAGTGTAGCAGAGATGTTTATTTGAACAGTATGAAGTTAGCTGTGGAAGAAACACGTCTGCTCATCCTCTACTCTGCCTTCGCATTGACCATTAAGTACGAGCACAAGCTAAGGACACACGCAAATCACTCGCCCGTAGTATGCTGCACTGCTGCCGCATTTTCGGCACGTGGTATAGCTCTTAATCACGGCGGTATGAGATACAGGGAGAGGTTGCGGGGATCGGCGATTCGAATATAGTTACGCGCGTTGCCATTTTAGTTTTTTGCGACTATTCATATAATTTACATATACAAACAGGGAATATAAAATCGAGGGCAGTGGCAGCAATGTTCAGCTTGTGCTCATATAAAAGCTATCACACAAAAAAAACTGCTGTGTGTCTCTAAGCAGCAGGAATACTTTTTAACGGTGAAACAGCTAAGCTCGTTGTAATTTCCAAGACTTATAAGAAAGGAGGTATGTTCCACGGGCTATCAAAAAGTGCCATCTTTGTTCCACATATATTGGGTAAGTACTGCTCACCACTTGTCCAGTAACATGGCCGCGGTTAACTCAGTAAGTGTCGACGAAGTAAGGGTGCCCAGTCGAAGACTCCGAGTACATAAAGCACGAAAATACCCGAGAATACATAAGGCAACGGTGGCTACAAGAAGATTTCGAGGCAATGGAAGGCATACATCAACGTTGCTCTGCTAGCATCAATACACGCCGAAACATTTCCTGACTCCTATTTTGTAGTTCTCGCTCACCACGTATATAAGCGGCTCTCTTGAAAGGGGACGTTGACTCTCTTTGGAGGTGATGAGAGGCGTTTGAAAGAGCCGTTCGACTCCGCAAGAGAGTCCACGCAACTTTTAAAAGAGCCACATATATGGCAAGACATTACTCACCCAGCGGAGTTGCACATAATCTGTTTGATTTTCCCAGAGTGTATTAGCGGTGCAGACGGTTAGTTTCAGTGCGATGTTCGGTCTCTGCAGCTTAGAGATTCATTCATTTCAGCGCAGAGAATGAACATAGAAACAACGAAGTCTCGACTAGTTAAAACAGTGAGCGATGAGCGACAAATTTAGAAACAAATTTCATCACTTAGTTAGAGCTTAGGAACACTCTATAATCAACAAGTTTAATCTTCTTTATCGTCCAGTATAGCTGTTTAGATCCCTGCTTAGTTTCATGCAAGCTTCGTCATTTTTCGTGCATTCTGCACGAAAAATGCAGAAGAAATGCACGAAAAAATGCAGAAGAAAATCTTCGCCATAATCTTTTGCAGTGCTTCAAATACACGAATCAAAAAGAAAAATTGAGTAACAAATTAGGAAGTTTGGAACAAACGGCCCCTCACATTAAAGCGATTATTCGGGCTATGGCCTGAGATGAATCTTCAGAAAAAGGCGAACATCTTCCTGACAGACTTCATAGTGGAGACGGGGCTGTATAAGCGCCAGTGAGAGACAGCCAGGGGTTGACATATATGACATGATGTTTAGTGCATATACTAACAGTAAAAAAAGAAGGTGTGCGTGCGAACATATTATGACTGTGTAAACTGAAGCAAGCAAAGTCTACATTGACATGATATCTCAACTGGTTTCAGTGTGCTATTACATTTTCTTTGTTCGTTCATTATGCAGTACCGTTCAGTATATAACTTTAATGTTTTTTGCTGCACAACTTATTAATATAGAGTAGCCGAGGAAATATGGACCTCAACGTCTCTACAGCAAAACAGTTAGAACAGAACAGAATTCACATGTTGCGTGCACTGAAAAAAAAAAGAATAGAAACGAAGCCTGGGTGCGGGTCAGCAAGTCTTGATAACGTGGTACTTTCAGCTTAATAAAAAAAGCCATTTTTATGGGGCTCTGACTTTTCTTAAGGGAAGCGTTATCATTATAATTGTGTAGACAACCAAGATCCCTTCTTCTTCAGGTTTTAACCGGCCTTAACGTGACATGGGCGTTGGAAAATTCACGTTAACGCAAATGCAAATAATCTCCATTAATCTTGACAAAGGCAGTCTGACACACTGCGGCCAAGTAATAAATTGTGAGTTGGAGTCAAACTGGGCGGGCCTTGGCATCTGTTTATGTGATTTATTAGTTGGAATTCACCCTTTTCAGGCACTGAAGAAAAAATACGTCGAATCACTTTTTACTTAGAGTGTAACTACTCACTGCTCACATTTTCAAGATGTTCATATAAAATCACAAGTTTTTCAGCTGGAGGAGCTTGGCCACAACAGCGTTAAGACTCTCGTTTCGCATAAAATTAGGCATTGACGTTCATGTCGTCACTGGCTTGAGCGCCAGTGGTTTTGAGCGAAAAGTTTTGCGAAAACACTGACAAAGAGGAGGTTTGAAAACCTTTCGAGGAAATGGGTCTTTATTTAAAGCACGCTACTCATTATATGTAATACTAATCACTTCAAACTTTATTGATTACATCGTAGCAATCCACAATTTAAACCTCTCTAGTGGCATCATACAGCAGAAAGTATGCACTGAGTGGTTAAAGTATACGCACTGGAAAGGATATTGTTAACGCGTTCAACTCTTCAAGGCGAGTCCTAAGGATCCCCAAATTTTTCGATGCACGTTCGTGTAAGTCATTTGGATGAGCATGTACATGTATAGTTCTGTACATGATCTTTTAAGATCAACACTGTAACAGCATGCGTAACGAAACTGGAATGTTCAAAACTGCATGATGACCACTAAGACGGCTACAATGTCCCCAAGTGCATTCGGGACGCCGGTAGCTGGGACAATGTTCACTGTCAGCAGGTTAGGGTAGGAGACAGCGGCGTGGTAAAGGCGGACACTCTGAGACAGAGTTGGACTTCAAAGGGCTTCGTTAACTTCGCCATGAAGCCTGGGTTTCAGGCATTCGTGATGAAACCATAAGACTGCCGCAAATGCGGGAGTATAAAAAAACAATGACTAGATTGAGATGTTACTGGTTCGGAGGAGTGCTGGGAAATGTAAAATATAGGAGCTGTTCTACGGGTTCAAAGCAATGTTTTATCAAACTGAACGAGAAAGAAAGGTGCATCATGAACAAATGATGATTACGATCGCACTAATTGAGTTGCAATGTATTTTTTTTTCGAAGATGCCTGTAACTGGGCAGTAGTACAAACCTCCCTACGAAGACCTGTCGGCCTGATAGTGGATCGAATTTTCTAATATATAATGTATGTAAGTGCACACCTTATGAACGCATTCGCAGGAATGTCTTCTATATACTGAAGGTAATCAGTGAATAGTTGCTAAACTATGTTACCAAGTACATAACTTCCAGAGGGTCGTTTTTTTTTTTCAAGAAATATTGAGGGTGATGTGAACTTAGGGTGAGCTTGATTTGTAGGAGACCAAAACGTCGTCAGACAAATGAATGGCCCAAATCAACGATACTTTTGCTATAAGCTATTATTGATAGAACATCTAGTGGGGTCACTACATTTCATGTTTTCAGACACTAGATACTACGCAGAAATGCAATTTTATTTTCTCGCGGACTTCAGGAATTTATATTGTTAGTAATAATTTAGGTCTTAAAACGACAATGATGGTTCAAGAATTGTAGTCATTAATGCACATTTACTAGAGATTCGACATGCTGAAAAAGGCTTTGAAGCTTTTTGTTTTTTCAGGTAACACATACAGCCATGGCAATAACGTTTTCTTAATAGGGAACACAAGTTTTGTGATCAATTTGTGGCTTTAGTGAAATATTATAATGGTCGAGTAGAAAATATGTTGCTGTAGAATGGAGTGTCAACTTGGCGCGCACAAAAATGTCTAATCTATATAAACTTCCTTTTCTAACCCCGTTCAAATCTTACAGGCTATCAGCAATACAAGTGCGACTTATACACTGATGAAAACAACTTACAAAAACGTCGATGGTTATCATAGAGATATCACTTGCGTAAATGTCACGACAACATATATACACTTCAATCCCCGCAGAGTAACCGCTAAAGCGAACTACCGCGTCCAGGGGGTGGAGTGAGTATGCCTTCTTTTCTGAAACAAACGTATCCCAGAAAAATGTGAAACTGAACCGAAGATATATTGGAACCACTTTTTTAGGCCGAGTTTTCTAGATAATCGGATATTCTGTGCATGCAGTTGGCTATGCAGAGAATATCCGATTATTGAGAAAACTCGGCCTAAAAAAGTGGCTTCAATAGATCTTCGGTTGTGAATCAATGTGAATGTGAATGTGAATGAGGCCCCACCACGGTGTTTTAGTGGCTAAGGTACTCGGTGACTGACCCGCAGGCCGCGGGATCGAATTCCGGCTGCGGCGACTGTATTTACGATGGAGGAGGAAATGTTGTAGGCCCGTGTGCTCGGATTTGGGCGCACGTTAAGGAACCCCTGGTGGTCGAAATTTCTGGAGTCCTGCACTACTACCGGCGTCTCTCATAAATCATATCGTGGTTTTGGGACGTTAAACCCAACATATCAATCAATCAATCAATTAATCAATCAATCAAATGTGAATCAGCATTGATTCTGATTATATATTTTATTTTGGCAATAAATTGATTTTTGCCTGGCGTACCTTTCGACACGGACACTTTCGTGACGAGACGTCAATATTGTGTAGGCTCTTGCGACTTTACGCACCAGGAAAATTACGCCGGACATCGAAAATACCCGGCAGATTTTCCATTTCCGGGTTATTCGAAGTAATGCTACGCATCCAGATAAAAAGAACCGTTCAGTGTTTTGTTTGTACTTGAGGTAGGTGAAGTCATGAGTGTCTTCACATTCGTGTCATCATATGCCGGGTGTTCAACATGATTACAAGCATGCACAATATGACATATAACAAGGTAATAAGACGACAACTTTGGTATGTACAACAAATGGTCGCCTTTATGTTCGCATTGCCCTTATATCATGCTATAGCAATGTCGGTATATATGCAATCAAGGAAACCATGTTAGCACAGTGTGAAAGTGGCATGTGAACAATACCGTACAAGACCTTGACGTCCTTATTTTGATGTTAGAACCTGACATTTACGCTCGTCATAAATGACACGCTTCGAAAAAAGCTTCCGGTGCTTCCTTTGCGTCAGCATGCTGAAGTGATCTTCAGAATCAATGCTGCATTACATGCGGACACACCATTCGTGAGTACAAGATTATCCTTACGACTCAATAACACAGTCGCCAAACACTCCGTCGTGTCACCGTCACGGCACCAATTTTCGTCAGCGGAGAGGATTTTTCAGTCTTTTATCTCGTAGAAAAACTGGGTGATGATGACGTAGAGCGCTGCTCTATCATTCTGTCACCGGCGCGATATCGGAGCTATACCCATGAAAGAAGAACCAATGGAATATCTTCCCTGAGTGCTACGGCTGCATGTGTTTATAACCACATATTTCTTCATCACAGAGCTTCGAGCGATCGTCATTTTGGCCGCTTGCAAAGCTAGTACAGCAACATAAAACCATACAGCATCACAAAATCAAACGTGCGGTTGTCATGGTAAACAACCTGATGAAAATGATTTCTTTCAATTTATTGTGTCAAAATGATATCAACACCATGCTCCTGGTGTTGTAGTGTACTGGTAAAATTTTTGTTCCTTGTCAACGCAAGCAAAGAGCAATTTAACCTGTTTGACGTGAAATACTCATTTCGTTTCTCTAGGTTGTGGCGACCACGGCATCAATCAGTGCTCATTGCATGAAAGCTTGCTATTGTTGACGTTATTGCCACTGTAGCCTATTGGTACAATGGTCCGTTCCGTCTGCGGTGCGTTTTCTAGACGTGACGGTGACGAGATGAAGCGTTTGACAGCTCTATGAACGATGCTTTACTCAGGCTGTGGGGACGTTTTGCCGTGTCATAAGCGTTTTAGGGTCAAGCTTGTTTGCGCATGCACTGCGTGATCGATAATCGGAGCAGGATATTTCTCTTTAAAAGAAAAAGGCATAGTTCATCGCAGCTGGCGCTTAAGTACGTCTGCTTGTTCAGAACAAACACATCTAACACGGACTGCTTGACTATATGGGATACTTGATTTACAATGAGTAACATGATTGCTACTGAAATGAAGATATTGCTGCGCGTCAGTAAGATTCTAATAAAGCTTGGTAAGTAGCCCTTTTTTACGCATAGAGCGACTTCCAGGAAGTTCATTATTTTCGCCAACGTGAGCGTGAAGTCTTTGGATAGGTTAACGGTATTCAAATCTGATAGAAAGCAGAGAAGTTCAGATGCACTATAAGGCAAAATAAATCAGACGTCGGAGAATCTTTTGCGTCATAGAGGTCTTGAATTGCAACTGCGCGAATATTCGTCTTGCTTAACCATGAGTATGTCTGCCTAGTGTGGTCTAGTCTTAGTTCCCATAGAGGTACCACTAAACAGTACGTAGTAAGTTTCATTACACGCGAAACCATTCATATAAAGAGTTATGTCAGGGTGACGTGGCTTCTAATGTAATGCGACGCACACACAGACACATCCATTCTCACAAACACTGATCATATACATGTGCTTATTTATTAAATTATACAAGTGCAATTTGTACTTTACATGTCATTCAAGTATATTTCTCACTTCACAACTTTCAGCACTACTGCCAATTACACCATATGGCCAGTTAAGAGAAAGGACTACAATAAGACCTACAATGCTGTTCAATATGAGGAAAAAGGTAATGAACTCCTTAATATATAGCTTCGAAAAATTTTTTCTTGCTCTCATTCACAACTCGAAAAAAGACAGTAGTTTCTACTTGGATAGTTATTACAGCGGCAATAAACACTGTAAATATACGACAAGGCGAAAAAAGGGTAGGAACTGTTTTAGTGCTTCTTGTAAAATCTTCTCGGACAAATACAAATAAACTTAAAAGGTATGAGAGTGCGTAATGTTACCAAAGTGCAAAAAAACAACATTGTCAGTGCTGTGGCAAAGTTGTGCCACCAATTGGGGCCACCTGGTTAGGTTACTCCCTACGTGAAGAATTGTTATTTCTTGGAAAGTAGAAAGATACTTGCTCTTCCATTTTTCGCCGTTCTGTAGAGACGTGAGGTAACCGCTACAATTATTAGGAAGTAGAAATATACGCGCTATTTCATTTTTCGCCATCCCATGGAGAAGCGTGATACCTGCTACATTTATTGGGAAGTAGACGTATACTTTCGCATTTTTCGCCATTCTGAAGAGAAGCGCGGTACCCGCTACTTTTATTTTAAAGTAGAAACATACTGGCTTTCCTATTTTTCGCCATTCGATGAAGACGTGAGGTACCTGCTACTTTTATTGGGAAGTAGAAATATACTCGCTCTCTCATTTCTCACCATTCTGGGAAGAAGCGAGGTAGCCGCTACATATCTGTTGCTCATTTTGTATAATTTGCAAATGACGTAGCTCAAAATTATTTAGTTTTGGGTGTAACACGTGTATAGGTAATTTTGGTTGACACTAGATAGCCCCAGGTAGTCGAAAACTTCAACGTACTCAAAATGAAATTATTCATTATATCAGAAAACAAAACCAACTATTACAGTTTTTTGTTATTTTGTAATTTAGAATATTTCGGGTGAAGAGGCCAGCCAAGCTGTGACATGTACTTTTTTACCTTGCACAAAACCACATATGCAGTGTATTTTTATGTTCTTGTCACGTGATTGAATAAGCGTGAGTGAGTGAGTGAGTAACAACTTTATTAGTCGAAGGGGTGAGGGGTAAGGGAGGCTAAGCCACGAAGGCTGCCAGGCTGTGCTTCTCGATGACTTCTTCCGCTCGTTTCAGGACCCGTGTCTGGATGTCTATGTCGTTGCTGGAGAGAAGGGCCTCCCATTGTCCCTCGGTGGGGGGTGAGCAAAGGAGGTCGGCGGGCGGGGATCCTCCGGGCAGCCCCAGAGGATGTGGTTCAACGAGGCAACGTTGCCGCACAGGCAGCAGCGTGGATCGATGGCACCTGGGTGCATGTATGAAAACACGAGGGGGCACGGGAAGGTGCGGGTCTGTAGGCGACGCCAGGCGATCTCGGACCGCTTGGGAAGGCTGCTGTGAGGATGTGAATAGAAATATCGCTCGAGGCGATAGTGCTGAGTGATGTCGTGGTAGGTGACCAGGGGCTCCGGCACCAGGGCGTCCGACTCTGAGTGGCCCACCGCTCGGTCGACGAATCCTCGAGCGCGTTGGTGAGCTGTCTCGTTGCCGGGGTGACCCGAGTGGGCGGGGACCCAGATCAGTTCTATGCGGCACTGCTCATCTTGCTGCAGTAGGGGCCGAAGTAGCCGTAAGGTGGTAGGCGAGACGAGACCTCGCGCGAAATTCGAGATGGCTTGTTTCGAGTCGCTGATTATGACGCTTGCGTCAGCCGAGGTCGCGGCCAACGCAATGGCCACTTCCTCCGCCTCGACGGCGTAAGGCGTTCTGACGGTGCCAGCCGTGATGGTCGGCCCAAAGGAGCTGAGGAGGGCGACACGGAAACGACTACGAAGGCGTCCCTGCGTGCATTGTATCGGGCCGCATCTACGTAGGCGACGGCCGGGTGGTCGGCGTACTTTGCGTGAAGCATGGCGGCACGGGCTTGGCGGCGAGCGTCGTGGTGGCCCGCCAGATATTCTTAGGTAGCGGCTTGATGTAGAACGCCGCTCGAATAGCATGGGGTAATGAGACCAGATCCGGAGGGTGGGAGGAGGTGTCGTGGCCGATGGAGGAAAGGGATGTGGCGACCGGTCGGCGAACGGTAAAGGCGTTGCACTTGAGCGGAGCGGTGAGCCTCAATCAACTCGTCGAGCGTGTTGTGTACACCCAAACGGAGAAGACGATCGGTGGACGTGTTGGGGGGAAGGACGAGGTCTTGCACCAAACCACATATGCAGTTTATTTTTATGTTCTTGTCACGTGATTGAATAAGCGTGAACTCAACTCTTATTTCTTCAAAGAAGACCAACAAAATATTGCCGGGCACATGTGCTGGAAGCGGATTTATCAGTCACCCACTCGTTAGGCAGTTTGCATGGTGTGCCACGCGTTATTGTTATCTCTACCATAAAATATTACGTTTTAACGGGATTTTTGTCTGAAAAAGTTCTGCGTAAGGCTATTTACAATGTAATTTCTTGCCCTGGCATGGCTCTGTTCTGTCACACTGAACTGCTACGAGAAGGCCTTGGGTCCGAATCGAATGGTGGACATTTATTTCAGCAAATTCACCAGTTATTTATATACAGCAACAGCTCTCATTGTAGAGTAGCGACGAGTGCCTTTTGCGCGAGCTGCCATTACGGCTTCACTACACAATTTCATGCATAGATAAATCAAACACATTGTCGTACATTTGGATACAGCATCGCATTAAGTAGCTAATTTACATTATTATGTGTTTTTCAATTTTTTTCAGAAGAAAAGCCGAACCCGAATGGATTATGTTGTGGGCCAGGTAGGTCCTGCACCCACCAAGGTGCAAGATAATCGAAGTAATTTCAGCTTTTTTATTGGTTACGTAACGACAAAGTCTTGTGATTTTGCAGCACCAATGCCCACAGAGGGAGTAATCATATTCAGCGATCCAAATACTTGTGCCATCTTGAGTGTCAGAAAAGGATCACGTGAGTTTTATTTCGCTTGTACATTTCCTTCATATAGCGAACATATTTCTTTTTCCAACAAAGCTGATAGGGCAGCTGGGCGAACAAGTTGAACTGTGGCAGAAGGCGACAGGCTTTTATTGTTCCACGTAGGTATAGGCAATAAATCACACAAAAATTTTTTTCTACAGCGTAGGTACCTCGCTTTATATCATTACAGCTAAGTAGCTATTGGAATAACAATGAATTGCTTACTTGCCCAGCTGTGTAGCGTGCAGGCTGTCCAATACTTAGGATCAAAATAAAGAGCGTATTGAGCTAGCAAGCGACGAGTGCTGGAGATATGGGTAGTCACAGAAGCTCAACTATGCGTGGATACTTGAAACACCGTCTTGAAAATCTTGTCCGCTAACAACGGCACACGCTAATCGCGTTGTCAGTAAGCTCGCTACTATAAGGACCCCTGTGTTCACATTGTCTTTTCTTGTCGCTGCGTATACCGGCAGCATATACTGGAAAGAAAGCTACACGCAGGCACTCAGTGCAGCCTATACTTCTGAAAAAGAACCACGTGGCTCCTTGTTGAGAATAGGATGTTTTGTCGAAGAACGCTCATCCAAAGAGTAAGGTCTTTCAATACCAATGTATTGCACATACTGTCCCAGGAAGTAGCGCAGTTGAAGACTCAGTAGAACATTTCCACCAGCGCGAAGTTCTGGCGGTGGCCGACTTTAGCGCTTACTGCCTTGGAACGCAGTTCTCTCTTGGTTTTTCCCTTTGTGTGAAACAGCGCGTAGATTATAATCTACGGCTTTACACTTTAGCTTTGAAAAATGCGGAAGAAATGAGTATTACAGTCGAGAATAGTTTTTTTATGATGGAGCAGTGCACTCAAATCAATCTGGTTCTTTTAAACTCGTGGCAATACTTTCACACGTAAATATTTTTAAAAGCAAGGCTGTTTGAAGAATAAATGTTTGTTTAGAAACCGAAATCACTGCTTAGAAACCGTACAAACAAAGAGGTGTCAAATACATAAGCGGTCATGTGAAACGGAAATTCGGCAATATTTTACTCAATACAAAATAAGAATGCAACAGTTAGCCTAGTAACCACGTATGTGGAATAAAATTTTGTGCTGCCTATCACAAATTGTCGACATGTTTGCATATCACACACACACAAAAAGTTAAAGTTGAGTCCTTTGTTTCGTTTTTCTGTTTTATGGTGCTGTTCGACTACATCGATTCCAAGTCCCTAACTATCCCAACCAACTGTTTCTCATATAGAACTAATATAATCGAAGTTTGGCATGTCCTACATAAAATAGGTTGATCTCACTTACACGCAACATCCGCTTAAAGCGAAGAAAGCAACGGTTAGCCTAATATATTGCTGGGAAGACCCCGTGCAGGTCCAATGAGAGCATACCCGGGAATGTTAAAGGCTATGGCAGCCAAAAAAAGGCCCCGAAGCGTTGGAAAACCTACGACGACAACGACAGGGCCATGTTCTGTCTGTGTCCCTCTGCGGCTTTAACTATATAAAAGTGATCTGCACTGAGAAACCTAAAACAACCTAGAATCGCCTTGCTAAACCTAGTAATGGCATAGAAACAACGAGACTGGTCTTCTTGATTGTCCAATTTTCCTCTTTTGAGGTTTGTGCGAGTCAGTGCACGCTTCGTAATTTTTTTAGAGCCAGTTCACGTTAGAAATGCGCTCACATCTTCTAGAGCTTGAAGGACACTTTAAACTTGTAAATTCTGAAATGTGTTCCGCGAAAAGCCTGCGTGCGTTAAGACGGGGTGAACGCTATGCACGCATGTCCCTACTTCCATGAGTGGGCGCAATGTGGCCGGGCTACAGGGGAGACGCGAGCACGGCAGAGCCATCTGACTAAGTCGGCTGCCGCAACGAGACACCTGACGAAGCATCGTGGCCGCGCGCTCTGCTGTGGCACCACGAAGTTAGAGAAAGAGTGTAATTGGGAGAGAGCGGTAATAAACTTCACCACTCTAGCACTTCTATAAATGATAAACCGGTGGAGCTGAAACATGCGGTCCCACTGTTTATTCTTATGACGGGTGGGGATCTGTCAAAGTGCCTCATCTTCTAGCGTTTGGGTTTTCGATCACTATTATTAAGAAATGTGCCATTCATACTTTGCATTAAATGACGTTAGCTTAAAGGGCAGTGAATCTGTCTAAAGACCTTTTGGGAGATGGCGCTTGATGCTGGACGTGATATCATCCCATGCTATAGGTGCTGGCAAAATCGAAAGGGAAGCTAGTGCATGTCGGGAGACGCTTCGAGGTAGGGTATACTAGCATATAGGGAGAGCGAATGGACACGTTTAGAAAACACTAGAATGAATAAAGTAAGTCCTTTAAGGCGAAATTTCCACTAAGCATTTCCTTCGAGCATTTCGTCAACCAACCCTACCGATTTATCTATAGTGTGGCATCGGGGCCCACGAAACGGCTTTAAGCTCTCCCATAGTAGAGTACTGAGTACTCTAACTCTAAATCGGTACCGACTTTTTTAGATGCGGAAGCATCTTATACTCGCGCCTTGTAGTGCGCCGTCCGCGCCGTCCTCGCCGTCCGCACCGCTTCTCGAACATTCGACAGCTGACGCGCGCGCATGCGCCGTCGCGCCGTCGCCCACTCTTCCACCATCTGTGCATCCCTTCCTCCTGTACACACCGCGCGCGCTTCACTCCTCCACCATCTGTGCACCCTTCCTCCTCTACACACCGCGTTCGACATCTACAATTCTCCTGATTCTCCAGTGGACGCGCATGTGGCGTCGCGCTTCGAGAACATTCAACAGCTGACAGTGCATGCGCCGTCGCGCTGTATATATACTCAAGGTCGGCGCTCGCTCGCTCAGTTGCCGCTCGTCGGTTGGTTTGTACGGCGCGTCGACGTCCAAGGTCGCGGTGGAATGAATTCCAACGAATCCACAAACACAATGATCGACGTCCCTTCGACCAGCGCCGCCCTTTCGCATACGTGTGTACGTGTTCACTCATTTAACACCCCCTCCTACAACCACGTTAACAAATTTAGCCATCGACCCAAGTAAGTCGCAATTTAACACCCCATTTCACAACCACGTTAACCAATTTAGCCATCGACCCAAGTAAGTCGCACTTTAACAGCCCGTTAACCAATTATATGGTCCGCATCCTCCTCAGTGTTCCCCCGAGGGAAGCTGCGGGCAATTTTTTCTAATCACCCCCCCCCCCAAGTCTTTTAGGTTGTAACAATGCCGCATCGTTTATAACGTTTGCATTCTCCTTCAGCACAGCTTTCTGCTCTCCCATAGGGGACTTTTCCGAAACACATTCAGATACACAGTGATAAGCTAGGTTCCGGTGCTCATTTGTAAGATGTATGCACATTCTTTACCTGTAGCAATGTTTCGTTTGTGTATACACAAGTTAAATGTACAATAACAGTTCCCTTTTCCAAACGCTTTCACCAGTATGAAAAAAAGCAAAGGCTATTGCCATATTAGTATGACACTGACAATACCACTACATTAGATCATCCACTTTTAAATCGCAGCAGAAAAGCATTCCGAGCTGCCATATCCAGTCGAATACACTCATCGCTTAGCGGAACGAAGGAAAAAAAATACCCTCACTTTTCCAAAGGGAACCGTGAGGAGATACGAATGCATTGCGTTGCATCCATAATGGCGTTTCGCACATGAGAACCCAGCATTGAAAAATAATGTTTTCTTTTTTTTTATTACACCCTGCAGTGAATAACACCGTCGGCCACACGTGACGTTTTCTTGTCGCGAGAAACTCGGTATTCGTTTCGACAATCACTCGTTGCCCCATTAGATGTTAAACCATGTGAAATCTCTTCCATTAGCAATGCAAGACAGAATGTCGAAATGATGTTTGACGATATATATCCGAATCATGCGAAATATTTGTCGACACATTTATTAAATGCCCTTCTGCAACAGCATTCAGAAGAGCTAAATATAATAATTATCATAGCTACAAAGGCCTCGCAATTCGAAGAGAAATCCGGCATTGGCTTTTTCTTTGAAACCATCAACTGGTCGTTTTCATTAAGACTACTTGATTTCTTGTCAGTATTTTCGGCACAACTTATAGCGGTGATTATGGCATAAGAAAGCGCGGCCCGCTAGCCTCAAGTGTGGCTATAGTTACCGATTCGTTATCTTTGTGTTCGGCGCTCGCCTCCAATAGTGACTCGTAATTATCATGCACGTTTCACTTCGGGTTCTAACTCATATAACTTTATTACGATTGATCTGGGTTCCTAGAACAAGAGAATAAAAATAAATTAAATGGCAGACGCTCTGGCGAAAGCCGCTCTCAGTAGTCTGGTATTTTTTATTATTCCCACATCAACACTCATAATACGTGACAGATTTCGAAGGCATGCCGTAACTGAAAACTCTGGTAAAACATTGATTGCTCACCTAAACGAAGATCGACACTATTTGTTCCCTTAACGTAGGAAGTTCCGGTTATTACGCATAGAAGAGGTTCTTTTTACGAAATTACGCTGTTAAGTTCCAAAACTAACTTACTACATGTATAGAGCTGGTCTGGCTCCTTCCCCTTTTCACTCAATATGTAACAAGAATGAAACAATCGAGCATTATTTTTTATCGTGTACTCGCTTCATGTCACAGAGGAAAAACATTCTTAAAGCTGCTTTTATTCGAATTTAATCGGATTTCATTATCTGTAATGTTCTTTCATTGGGAGACTCCTCATTAGGTCATTGTCACCGGAATATCTGTTCTGCTGTGCAGAGCTTCTTAATCGAATCAAGGCGGTTTTGATTGCAAAACTC